AGATGCTGGTCATTTTGAAGGGACAGTGTTAATTAATTTGCAGATTTTCATCTTTGCCTTCGTTCGATGGGGTAGGTTTTCGCTGATTTTTAAGTTGGAGTGTATTTAATTTTTTTATAAGGTTGGAGGAATTGCTTCCCACCCAAAGAGGTAGTTCAGACCTGTGTTTTGTAGTGATAGATAGCAGGTCCTGTAGTATTTTGTATAACCACTCGTACCAATGATCGAGCATCAGTTCAACGTTGCTCATGCAAAATGGTTGCAAGGGGTGTTGACGAATGAATTCATTCACTTCTTCCCAGTTTGCTTTCTTGTACGCGAAAATGCCAAAATCTAGTTTTTGTTTGATGACTGGTGCCTTTTTTTGAACCGGTCGGTAGTCAAATGAGACTTTGGCATGGAGTGGCAAATGGTCGGAACTGAATAGACTACTCAGACAATAACTCAGACTCCAATGTAACAATAACAATTTTATCTTCAGTTAAAATTAAATTACTTCCACGATGTTTTTCTATGGCTTGCCAGAGATGGCTCTTCACTGAAGATATGAAAAAAAAATCAACTTAAATTTCATAGACTTATAAAGTAAACTCCTGTTGGTAAGGTTTACATTTCTGCATAAAACATCAATTTATAAATAATATTTACAATAATTCACATACATTTTGGTTCTAAGACATCATGTTAAAAACTTAGCCAATCTCAGTTGACCTCTAAATTACTATTACGATTAAAATACTTTTAACCTCTAAAATTATTTAATCAAAGTTAAATTAATTTGTCTGGAAGTTTCTGAGTCATGTTTTTGATTCAGACATGTACGTTTTAAATAAATAACCAAAAACTTTTTGGGACTGAGTTTTCAGTGTTAACTCCCTGCTCCTAAACTCATCGCGCGTGTTCAAGCCAGGTTTCTCTTTCCTGATATGTATTGCCTCTAGTGTTAACAATTTTTTTTGGTTGTTTGACCTATCTATAATTTTCCAACTTAGATCTGCGCTATTTCCCTCAATGTGGCATTGCTGAAGGTGGAGGCCTAACGCTGATTCTACCTTCTTATATTCCTCAATACTAATAGTCAAATGTCGAAGAGTTTGTCCGACATAGTTGGAAGTGCATCCACTACATGACAATTTATAAACCACTCTTGACTTGAGGTCATTAGAAAATGCTGACTTCAGTGATGGTAAACATGATTCTTGTTTTCTTGTGGTGAAAACTACTTGAAAGTTAGTTAATTTTCGTAACCTGTTTGCCAAGTTTTGGCTTTGGTTACCTCTGTATTGCACCATCAGCATTGGGGGCTTCACATCCTTTGGTGATTGAGTCTGAATTCAGTTCCCTCTGTACGTCTTGTGTCGCACGCAATATCGAATCAGCGTTAGGCTCGGACACCACGATGGTTTCATCAGTTCCCACACCTCCATTAGACTCGTTCTTAGCAGTTCGTCCGGAATCCCAATCCAAATTCCACTCGGTTGTCAGATTTTGGCACTGAAGGTGCAGTCACCTTTTCTTCCAACACCAATCCCAGTTTAGTCTGCTGATTCTTGACGTTCAGAATCTTAGCAACATTGCTTGCTCCTAATCAAAGAAGCAAGCGTCGTGTACCAGTTTTTAGAGTTCTTCCTCAAATGTAGTTGTTTCTATGTTTGCGCCAGGAATTTTTCAAAAAGGGGCTTGCCCTTACCCTCGATTATTTTGCACAAGGCATCTGAAGCCACCTTGGCGGACCAATTTTCAGGGTGCTGATTTGTCAGCCATTGCGTTCTATTAGTTTCCATAGCCTTATCAAATTGCTCCCAGCTAGATGTACTCGTAAAAACTCTGTGTACAGTTCCTCGGATAACACTACGCTTGTACTGAGTTGGGGCGCAGCTTCTATAGTTCAGTATAGTCCCTGTATCTGTTGGCTTTTGATACTAACTGCAAGTTACACCCCTACCCTGCGATACATTTATGTTCAAATCCAGGAACTGCAAATTCTCCTCCGAATTCGTTTCCTCTAGAGTGAACTGCAGATTTGGATGAAGAGAATTGGCGGCATCGAGAAGACAACTCGGCTCCCCTCTGACTGTTCTAACAATGTCATCCACATTCCTGAGGAACAATTTCACCTGGGGAGTATCTTTCTCGTTGTTTTTAGCGCGGCAGCAGCTTTCACAGTAGCAGACTATCTCGGTTATTGATGCGAATGTCATCAGAGTTTTTCGGCATTTTAGATTTCTTATCTTGCCATTGCCAACATCCGGCCTTTTTATCTGATAGATTTCCCATATGGTGCTCTCTTTCACTCCTGGTGCTATTTTGGTTTCATTCTTCAGTTGTTGTTTTGCTATTTGAAATAATTTTTTTTAATTAAAGGCCCAGACGAAAAGACGATAGTCCGAATTAGAATAATATTTCTAGTTTGAAAAAAAAATCAGGTCCGTACCCAGTTCAAGCGCCAAGCCTCGGTTGTCTTGAGCATAAATCTTAACTCTATACCAGATGATTGATTGAAAAAGAATTTACTCAAAAGCGTGTACTATTTTCACAAGCAAAATCTTGTGAACAAAGTTGTTTAAGGGAGAAAAAGTTAATAACTCATTTATGTCACTTATTAACCACACGGACGATAGTCCGAATCAGCAGAACATTTCGAGTTTTAAAAAAAATCAGGTCCCTGCCCGATTCAAACCCCAAGCCTCGGTTGTCGTACGCATAATTCTTAACTACATACCAGATGATTGATTGAAGTTGAATTTATCCAAAAGCATGTTCAAATACGTACTATTTTCACAAGCAAAATCTTGTGAACTAAATTGCTTACGGGAGAAAAAGTCCGGTACCCGGTTGCAATACCCTTGTTTATCACAGGGGGTAATTCAAAACAAATGCGGGGTAATTCACCCAATTGCGCCGTTGTGATTGGCGCTCCTATATTGCGGGCAAAGTAGAACCGAAAAGTAGTCATATTCCTAATTAGATCAAAATTATGCAGTAGAAAATCCTTTAATTCAGCAAACGAAACGAAAGTCAATGCAAATTACTCTCTCATTATCTTAGTTAATTGTTTTTCTTAGTAGCATGTATTTTTCCACGACTTCTTTCAAACATCGTGCCTCATTCTCGGAGGCCTGAGGATCGGTTCAATGACTTCCGCGCCGTTCATTCTCCATGTTTTTCTGAGGCAACCCGGTGTGCGTTTCCATGACTGAGCTATTTCAAACATTAATGCTTCTCGAGTTTTCGTTCTTTCCCCATTCGAAGTACATGACCACACCATCTTAGTCGCATTTTTCGCAGGCGAGAGTCCAAGGATGTCCCAAGGTTCGCTGCTCTTCGAATGGTGTTGGTGTCATGATCATCGAATCGTGCTCCGAGGTAGCGTCTTACGCTTCTTGTTTCTCATGAATCAAGTCTTACGACGTCAGATTTTTTGACAGTCCATGTTTCCGCAGCATATAGCAGAGCTTTCTTCACGCATGCGTTGCATACTTTGTTCTTCGTGTTTCTCGTCGTTCGCTTGTTCATCTAGAATTTTGCTATTCTAGAGCTGTTGGCAGTGGCGCGTGCGATCCTGTTCTGTACTTCTGTTGATATGTTGCCGTTGGACGATATCCGACTTCCGAGGTAGACGAACTCAGTGATGTTTTTGAGTGGGTTGAAGTCGAGGTACAGCACCACTGGTTCAGTTTGGGCAAACATGCACTTGGTCTTGCTGGAATTGACAATGAGGCCGACTTCTTTTGCGGCGGCGGCGACTACTCTGTTTAGTAGGGATTGGGCATCATCAGCATTGTCCTCCAGTAAGCAGATGTCATCTGCAAAATCCAGATTAGAGATGACTGTTTCTTGCGTGATTCCATTGTTTGTGCCATCGGTTGCAACATTCATCACCCAGTTGTTAAAAAGATTAAATAAAAATGGGGAAAGAACGACTCCATGCCTGACCCCTGAGTTAACGGAGAAGAGATCAAAAAGCATGCCGTTCTTTCTCACGCAGCTTGTGGTGTCTGTGAACATGTTTTTTATGGTGTTAAGTAGTTTGCATGGTAGTCCTTGATTCTCGAGAAGCTGCCAGATGGCGTCTCTCTTGGCGCTGTCGACGGCAGCTTTGAAGTCGATAAATACCATGACCGTTGATCTGTTTTACTCGTTTCATTGCTTCAGAATCTGTCGGAATGTGAAAACTTGATCGCAACAGCCTCTCTTTTTCTTAAATCTCGCCTGATTGTCTAGGGCATGAGGCTCGTAGGTTTTAGTGAGTCGTGTAAGCACTATTGATTCCAGGACTTTGAAACCTATGCAGAGAAGCGATATCCCGCGATAGCTTGCGCAAACTTGTGGGTCGCCCTTCTTGTGGAATGGCAGGAGGATTGATACCCTCCATTCGCCGGGATTTCTTCTGTATTCGATAAGCTGTCCAGTAGCAGTTCTCTAAGGTCAACGAGCGTTTCTCCGCCTGAGTTGTAGAGCTCAGGGGTAATGCCATCACATCCACCTACGCGGTGGGTCCGTAGCCCTGCTATGGCGTCCCTAATCTCACTTTTGGTCGAGGCCTCGGGTTCAACCTGGTTGAACGCTTTTGGCAGCGTGTGGGCGGCCGGGAGCAGCGATGGCGTATTTTCGGTACTCAAAAGTTGTTCGTAGTGCTCTTTCCACCTCTCCGATATTCTCTTGGTGTCAGTTATCATTTTTTCCGTTTGCATCCTTGAGTGACTCTGTGATAGTGTTTTTGTCTCTACTGCCACCTAGCGTGTTGATTAGTCTGTACATTTCTCGTGTGTGTCCTTTCTCTTTTGCTAATTCAATCTTAGCTGTCTTTTTGTCCAGGTATTTGCTCTTGTCCCTTCGTATGAGTTGCTTTACGCGATTTCTTTGGTCTATGAATTTTTTTTGGTTTGCTCGCTTGTTCTTAAGTTATTCTCGTGTCTGGATTGCGTTCACCGTCTCCTGTGTTATCCACTCTTTTTGCTTGTATTTGGTTGTTCCTAGCATCTTGGCAGCCTTGTTTACTAAAGCTTTTTTGATACGCTCCATTTCTGGTTTACTAGGACGTCGTGTTGTACACCTCCCGCGGTCTGGCGTAGATCATGGTTGAGCCTTTGTGTTTTCTGTGTCTTCTTGTAGACTATAAGCTTCGACTTGAGGGCGCACGTAAGCATTCGGTGGTCACTGTCGAGAAGAAGCTCGTCTTTTCTCACGCGGGCGTCACTTATCGATGTGCGCCATCTTCTTCTAATCAATAGGAAGTCGATTTGATTTCTTGTTCTCCTGTCTCTAGAGCACCATGTAGGAAATTGGTGAATCATTTTCCTGAACATGGTATTTGCGATGCATAGGTCGTTGTATGCCGAGAACAGGGCCAAGCGGTCGCCATTATCGTTCCGTTGGGATGGCTTGACCGCCCTACCAATGTAGCTGCTTTCGGCTATATGCGCTTGACCGAGCTTTGCGTTCATGTCTCCTCCGATCCGTAGTAGGTCTCCCTTTGGAGTGTCGTCAACTGTGGCATGGAGACTTTGGTAGAAGTCAACTTTCGTCGCTGATTCGGCCTCTTCTATCGGAGCGTAGCATGATATTATGGTGGCAGGTGTGGCCATAGCTTCTATTATGAGCATGCAGACTCTTGCACTCACAGCTTTCCATACCTGTACACAATTGTTTATCCTTTTCGATATTGCAATTGCCACTCCATGGATACCCGTGTTCTCTTGATATGCGTTTGTGAGTATCTGGTACCCTTTGGTTTCTACTTTGGATTCTCCTTGGATTCTTGTTTCCTGTAGGCATGCCACGTCTATCTGGTGATTCGATAGTGACTGGTCCAGGAGGTCAGGTGCTTCTGGGGGGAGGAGAGTAAGGGCGTTCCACGTAGAGATAGGTAGAACTTTTTTTGGAATGGTTTAGTGCTTTTGTGCCGACTTCGTTGTTTTCCTCCATGATGGCACTCGTGGAGGCCCCAGTTCCCGCGGGGGGCGTAGCTGTTTGTGTATTGTGGTTTGTGCGATTTTGCATTTGTGGTTTCTTGGCAAGGTTTTACAGAGGTCGCCACTCTCCAACCATCCTCCTTTACCCGGGCTTTGGACCGCCAGTCGGATCTTGTTCAGTTCCGACAGAGGGAAATTCATCAATTGTGTAGTTTTCGTACTTGATTTTTGTATGCTGGTAGTAGATTGTGTATGATGTTAAGGTTCCTAAAATGTACCTTGCGGTACACCTTGATGGAGTGAGACGCAAATGGTTTCTGTTGATGCCTACTATATTTTTTCTCTGTTGCTCATGAAACTATGAGTTACATTTTTTTTGCTTTTCCCAAAATCCCACATCCTTCAATTTGGGTTTCGTTGCCTGTAGAATGTTTCCCCAGTAAAAATTTTAATGGCAGTTTTAAACTTGGTTTCTGATTCTTTTGCTTGATCATAAACTTTACGATTTAACGGCATTGATTTAATAATTTTCTATAATTTAGATGCTAAAATTGTAGCTAAATGGTCAATTCTGAGCAGAGGAGCGAATATGAAAATTTGTTTTTCAATTCCCTTGTCGGTAAGTCTGTAAAATTATAATCAGTTGGTGTTTTTGAATGTGTTGGTGTTGTTTGATTGGTAAGTTCTAAGTTATGGGCTGTTAAAACTATCTCCAAAGAATCTCCTCCTTTGGGATTTAAATAATTAGTGTTATAATCTCCGTTAAAAGAAATGTTTGATTTAAATGATTGCGCAAAATCAATTGATAAAGCAAGTTGTTCGATAATTTCTGTTTAGCCAGGTTCTTTGAATTGTAAAAAAGTTTTATTAGTGTTGATCGTTCAGTTTCGTTTATCAAGTTCTACTCAGTCGCTGTCATAATTCTGATGGAGCAGGTTTAAGTCTGTGCGTAGTTTAGGTTCCAATACCTTAGGATTGAGCATCATTACTCTTCAACCTTTTGTCATTTCGCTTACTAGTGTTGATCTATCTCATCGGAAAGCGACAAAATGACCACTATCTAGTGTCAAAAAAATTTTGTCATTTGACTCATTAAACCACGTCTCAGTGAACCCATAATTTTTTTTCAGTCCTCAAGTGTTGACTGGTTTTTATTAGACTAGATTTTTTTCTGTATTAACTAGAATTTTTCAGCTTTTTTGTAACCTCATAGTTTCTCCGGTATGTCACAAAAATTTAAAATTGGACCTGGGGTTGGGCTAATATATCCGCAGCATAAAATTAATCATGCTAATAGAACAAATCAAAAATAATCATTTCGTAATAATTGTAAAATGCGCTTGAGAAAACTATAATTCTGATGAATGTGCACTTGAGAGGCGCTCAATTAAACCTATTGAAAAAAATTGGCAACCCATGAAACTTAGCTGCTTTTATCAAATTGTTTAATTCATAAAAACTCTCTGTTATGACCAATCTTTCTGCGCGCAGGCAAAACAGTACAAAAAGGCGTTTTTGGGCTTTTTTTGGAAAATTGTGACAAAAAATTGCGTTTTTTGGCGCGCGCTCTCCCTCAAAACAAGTATGCATTGGCACCAAAGGCGCCTTTAGAAAAGTTTTAGAGTCTGTCAACAAAACTGTATATCTAGAAAAGTACAAAGGTGGCCGAATACATGAGGAGTTAGAGGCGTCCGCCCCTGCCCCGTCCCTAAATCATCTACTGATTGTAACCAGCAAAAAAGTAATCTTGCTAATAGAACAAATCAAAAATAATCATATCGTAAAAACTGTAAAGTGCGTTTGAGAAGTACTATATAGTAGTATTGTATCGTGTCCCGGATCCTAAGGAGGGGTCCTTCCTAAGGGGGGGGGTCCTCACGTAAAGCAAAATCCTAGGAAAGGGGTCCTTAATTTTTTGGAGGACCCCTATCCTAGGATTATGTAAATGATCGCAAGCTCCCACCCCTAAAGTAAAAGACCCCCTCCTTAGGATCTTGTTAAGCTGAGCTCAACAACCGGGACGCGATACAATAATTCCTTCTAACTCGTTTTAAAGCGGTCCTTTTTCCCGCGATAATTAAAATTAATCGTCCTAATTCCTGAACTTTTCTTTTTCGTCCTAGTTTTATGTGGATATCATTTCCTGGCTTTCTTTCTTTTCGTCAAAAGTTTGTCATGCTATTAAAGTTTGTTATTGAAAACGAGCCTAAGGATTTCACACATTTGTTTGAATTAACACTTGGTTTGCGTCAACTAGTTTATTTGCCTGAAGCTATTTATGTTAAAAAAGTGATTGAGCTCAATACGAGTATTGTATTAGTTGTAAATTGGTAAAAACCAAAACATATACAAGTCGAAGTATAAAAAGGACGAACAGTAAAAATCATCTAAAAATATATGTTTCAGACTTTAATGTTTATTGTTTTGGTTTTCATTGCGCTGTTGTTTAGGTGGTCGCTTTTCTGAAGCTTCAGATAAAATAAATGGGTTATTTATAGGGGGACGTTCACGGACTCGGCTACTAGAAGCTTCTTCTTCTTGGAGCTCTGTTTCTGAGTAGGGCCGCTGTAAAAATCCCCAATCTGGAAGTTGAAAATCGGGAGAACTGTTATCAGTTTCATTGTATGAGTTGGCCCACTCGGTGTCCATGTAAATGTCTTCTAGAAAAGCATTTTCTTCAGCGGCTTTATGGCCGAAGGGCACTGTCGAAACTCCGTCGAAAAGTAGAAAACGTTTTGAGTCGAATGGTGATAATGCAAGTTTGTTTTATTTCACTGTCATATTGGTGTGAACTTTCGAAACTATATTATAGTTGTACACTCTCATTGTTTTTCCAGTGAATAATGTGTCCCTGTAGGTTTGGTGGACCAGTTCTCTCTGTGCACTCCGTTTAATTCCTTTGGCACTCAATTTTTGAGTGCCTTCTAAACAGAAGCAAATCTTTTATTGTTTTCTACAACGCAGGGGATAATTTCGTTTCACTTCAGCAACTCAATTTATACGGAACAAAATTTCTTTCATTTTACTAAAAATGAGCAGAAGACTCTAAATTATGATTAAAAAAAGAGGAAAAGAGAGGGAATATATTGTCAGATAAATCAACGTGTAGGCAACATTGTATAATGTTGCCTAAATCAGCTAAATGCCCATAGTTTATTGCAAAAATTAAGGAGGTAGGGGGGTTGGTGGTGGTAATTTTGTTCTGTAAAAGGTAAGAATGGGGGTGGAAGGGTGGCTTAAATTTTATTTACCATTAAGGACGACCGAATTTTAGGGCGATGAATTCTCTGATCGGCTTCCCACCAGTCTCGTCTTTGAATTTCAGCACAACTTTCTTTTTGGTATCCTCGAACAAGAAATGGTCCTCATCGTAATTTGAAAAGTCGAAATCGGCTTTTATTTTTTCCAAGTCTCGGTAAACGTCATCAGTTTTTATGGCATAAATAAAACTATCCGTGTCGGAGTAAAGGATAGCCAAGTTTAGATTTGGTTTCATTTTTTGATAATGAAACTGAAACATGAAACGCTTGGCGAGGTCTAGGATGGTTGCACCAACTATCATAGGTTTGTCCCACAATATTTTTGTTACTGAAAAGCTGATTGTGGCTAATTGATCGTCAATGATTTGAAAGCTTTTCATTGTGCTCAGAGCTGTTTTTTTTAAAAGTTCTCTCTCATTCCTTACAATCTCCAGCTTCTTTCTTTCTTACTTAGACTCCATTGTCTTACCGAAAGCTGAATTAACAATTAGCTTGTAGAAGTTCTCCTGGAATTTATTGACCGCGGTTTTTCGTAGGCGGGTGTTGAGGTCGACAAAGGGTGCCATCCAGTGACTTTGGCGGAACTGAAGAACTTTTCCTAGGTGAGTTATTTTCATTCCCAGCTCATGGTACAATTTTAGGGTAAGGTAGTGCAAAACATAACCTTGTTTAGGATGCAAGGTCTGTAGAAGCTTTGGCACTTTTTGCAGTGTGGTGATTCCCAATTTTCCCAACATGTCGACGTGCTCGTTGCTCATTGCACCGATGTCCACTACTTCACGAGAGGGGGCAAGGGGGTAATCAGCAAAGAAATCGTGAAGCTCTTCGGGTATGGTTAATTTGACTTCAACTATATAACACCACTCTGAGGTTTCGCTGGTAAGCAGTATGTCTGCCAGACTTTTTTCAACTATTGAAAAATAGTTTAAGGGCAAAGGGCAGTGTTTCATTATCCCCCCGTACAAATTGTTTGCATCAATAATGAGGATGTAGCTGGATGGTTCTGAGGGCAAAAAATCGTCGAGGTATATATTGTTTGCTTTGTAAAATCGGCGCGCGTAGACCGACGACATGCCTCCTCGTATCATTCGCTGCACAAGGTCCAGATGTTCACGGTCCGTTAAGAGTTTCAGTTCGGGCTTACAAACTTTTAGAAAGGCGTCCCCGGAACGGTTACTTGCCGTGAAGTAACAGGCGCAATCCAGCCCGTATGTTTGATAGCAAACTTCACCAGAAGCTTCGAAAACGGACGGAAGCAATAGCACATCTGTAGTCAAGTACAAATCGTGGTAATCACCAAGTGAACCACACTTCAGTTCGGTGAAAACTTTAAGGGCATGATTGTACTCGCTTCTTGAAACACTCACATCCCCTCATGTTAGACTATTTTTCCACATTGCTCGTGGGGGAAGGCGAGTTTCTCGGAGTTTTTCGAATGAGTTGAAGTATGAGTAGGGGTAATGCCCTTTCTGTTTCAAGATACTGACTTTTTCAGGTGAGTGGCCGAGTTTTTCAAACTAGTTCTCCAGCAAAAAAAAACTTTTCGTTGGGCAAATTATCGACAAGTTTTGCCAAAGATGCTAGCATGAACCTATACGAATCGATGAATCTCAGATTTTCGTAGAGTTTTTTGATTTTTCCGTTTTTGTCCGTGTACGTTTTTATATATACTGAGATTGTCAAGGATATATATTTTTCTTCAGATGCGGGTATTACGGAAAAAGTGTTTTCCGAATCGCTTTTTGCCAGCGCTTTGATTATAAAGTGTAAATCATAATTTGACAAATTATGAGCTACCACTGGAATGTAATTTGTTGTTTTTCTATTAACGTTACACTCATTGTGTGCCCAACCCAGGAACTTGTTGGTGTAATGGCAATGATCAAGTACCACTTGATCCTTGTCGGAAAAATCATTCTCGCATATCCAACAAATTGTAGC